CTCTTCCGATTCCACCCCGTTCCGACTTCCGAAAGACGATGCCGACCCCGTCGCGCACGCGGACGAAAAGGCGGATCTGACGAAAATAGGGAGTGACATCGAACTCCAAGGAAAGAACTCAACTGTCACTCCCTATGTCCTTCACAAGATCTGTGGCCGGCCGATCCCTGACCACCTTGGCCAAGCGGAATGGACTCAGAACTCTCCCATCTCCAAGAGATTCCACGCCACACGCACTTGGGGAAGATCGTCATCACTCGCTGCATCTCGCTCGACGGCCTCTTTCCATGCCGAACCAATCGATTCGGCAGAGACCCAGTCGAGCCTCAAGTCCTCCAACGTCTCTTCGGCGCGGTAAGAGTCCGAGAGACTCGTTTCGCGCCGTCCAAGGAACCCCTCCTCCGGCGCCACCGCCTTCTTTCGTCGGAACCTCCTTCGCAGCCACTCCAACATCTTCATTCTGTAAAAAAGTAAATTTGCAATTAGTCGAGTGAAAACAAAAGCTTAAACCCCGAGAAAACAAAAATGTTCACCGCAATACCCTTTTTAAATCTAAAACATTCGAATCGAAAGCGGAAACGGCCGACCATCGAACCATGGGCCGAGATGTCTTCTGGCAACGATTCTTCCGAGAATATTAAATAAATTCTTACGTCTAGGGTCAATGTGGACTAAGACTTAGCTCAAAAATCTCTTGTCTTCTTAGAAAAACTCCGGAAACAGCAAAAATAAAAAAAAATAAAAAAAAACACACACAATCCAACAGCACGTTGACACTTCCGTTTGACTTGGTCCGCGAGTGTTGAACCAACTTTGAAACTTTGGCTCGTATCTCACGCCATGGTATTTTCTTTTCTGACGGCTCAGAATTTTTTCATGTCTTCATTACTTACAACGCGACAATTTTACTTTCGAAGGAATGCTACATTTATTTCCAAATTTTCTCGTGTCAGAGTCAGAGCTTGATTTTTCCGATTGACATTCTAAACATTCCAATCCATTAGTGCAATTTGAAAAAAAAATTGTAGACCTATTAATTCCCACTGTCGTCCGTCAGTCTGTCTTAATCTCGAGAACGGAGTTAGATGAAATCCGAGGCCAGATATGGAAACTTTAGGGACAGGAGGTCCCAACTAACTATATATGATTTTCCGATGAAAACTACGTTTTTTTCAATTCAAATCTCCCCCCTGAAATCAGTTAATAGATGACCGGCACGACTGTATTTTTAAAGGGAAAGTATGATGTACAGGGGCAAGCCACTGCTAATTTGAGGTGTGGGGCATATATTTTAAATTAAATGATTTTAAAATATGATTAAAAATTACATTGTGACCGTATCACAATCAATAATTGCTCGTAGTTATAGTTTGTACGTGAAAACTTTGGTTTCAACTTGTGACAATATTTATGATGAAAAACTACATTTTGACCTTTGTCACGTCATGAACCACAATATTGAAGTTAAAATCCTTCTCTTCCACGCAAATCCACACGAGCAAAACAGACACAAGCTCAAGTGGATGTGCGTAGGATTTTTTAGTTAATGTTCAGTATCTGGATCCCTGGATCACGGTATCGTGTCCAGACCTTGTGTTTATAGACCTCGATAGAGATAAGGTAGAGCAACTCGCTATTTAATTTCAAATCAATTTTATTATTTTTTTTAGTGAAAGATGGGAAAGTCTGTTCAGTGCATGTTTCCGATTCTCTCGGTGTATATTTTACTGTTCTGTCATACATTTGCTCTACTATCTCTGATGTACTGTACATTGGACATCCGAAGATCTAATAGGAGCTAGATTTAAAGATGGCACAGCATCAGGCTATAAGCTCTCCTGGAAGGTATATTTAAGACTTCTGCTTTTACATCTCTCTCATAGTCGTTTTAAGGAAGTGTGCACTACAAGCTGTTGTATTTTCAATATTGACTTTGCCCTAACGTTTGCAGGCATGAATCCATTTACTCCTAAGAGTAGGATGCTTAGGGAAAGAATGATAAATTACATTACTTCCTTTAGTCTTTTGATTGTAATTTTCACACACTGCCACACAACAGTTTGGCATTATTCAACTTAATCAGTGAATCAGTGATACTAACTAAAAAATTCACACGTCAACACACTACTAGTTAACAGATAAATACTTTGAAATTATTAAATAAAATTTTACCTTATACTTGTATTCCGAACACCCACCAAAGCTTAATTTAGAAAACAAACAAACAAAAATCACCACGTTGTCGAAAGCTCATGTGTTTTTTGGAGCGTGTTTCTCGACGGTGACGTCATGTACACAAGGATTAAGAGAGAAACCTAGCACCCCTTTGATTTCCCACTAGGCAGTGGAGCACGTAACCAAGAGAGCCCCGAAATCTGTACCCTTGTTCATATGTCTTTCTGCCTAAATAGGTCCCAAAGTTGGAAAAAAATAAAGCGATTTTACTGTTGTCTTATCATAATTTATAAATAATTCTATAGCTACAGTTAAATGTTATTAGTTTATCATGTAAAATTATGTAGAGGAGTTTCCAATCTGTGCCTAGGGTCCCCCGAAAGATTTTAATCCACCACTGTTTCTCATCTATACTGTTAATATTTGTATTGCCATTTACAGTTATGGAAGCAAAAAAGGGCTCAAGTTAAAAAATATATAGCATGAAGTGTTATTTCTTATTGAATGAGATTCTAATACTTTGTTAGACCACATCGTACCTTAATAACAGCTTTAGCATTCCAGTAAAGGGTAGATGGGTTTATTCATGTATTCTATATCAAGCTTGTTATAGTGAACTCTTGGTTTATTTTCAGGCCTTGTCTCTGCAATTTTTATATCAACAGTTGTCAACAGGATTGAGATCAGTTTGAGGGCTAAGAATAGGATACCTGGCCAGTTGAAGCATCACAATCTTTGCAGATTGATCCTGGAAGATGCATGATTTTGTGACACAAACTCCTGCATCTTCCAGGATAACTCCCTACTCTGTATTAAGTATTCCCACATCTTGATTGATAAAATTAGCATGATAGATAAGATATTTTTATAGCACTCCATATTCACAGATCTATTTACAAATGGGTCTGTGAATACAGAATGCTACAAAAATATCTTATCTATCATGCTAATTTCATCAATCAAGGGACAATGATACAAAATCCTGCATCTTGCAGGATGACTCTCTACTCTGTCACAATGCCAAGATGGTTAATAAAGTATAATGTGTTCTTTTGTCTCAGTTTAGTAGCGTTACAAAATGTTTAGGTAAAAAAATTTCTACAAAAAGTCCAGATCAGATGCCTAAGCTGGCCAAGTATCCTGATCTTAACTTAGCTCTCAAGATGATCTCAACCCTATTAAGAACTGTTGACATATTATGAGCATGAAAATTGCAAGACAAAGTCTGATTGATAGAAGACTGAACGATTTATTAGAAGAGTTTGGTATCACAAACATTATATAGAATACTTGAAGAAACTTATCCACTCTATACCAGATCATTACTAAGCTGTTATTTTGGCTTGAGGTGGTTCTACAAAGTATTAGGATCTCATTTGACAAGGAATAACTGTTTCATTATATTTTTCAGGTCTTACTTATGTTTTAAACCCTTTTTTGCTTCCATAACTAAACAGCAAGTTCTTGCAACAGCACACATTAACAGTATAGGTGAGAACTGTAGTATGAAACAACTTATTTAAATTCAATGTAGCATTATATGCAGTGATAAATTTAGAAATATGACAACCCTACGTCACAATATGCAGGCACAATTTACAATAAAATAAAAGATGGAATCTTTTTTAATTTTAATTAATATTCTGAACATTCTTTAAAGTTGTATAAAAATGACTAGAAATATAAAAGATTTATAATCTAATGAATATCTATATAAAATGTTTTAATAAAAGTTTTTCTGTTTACAATTTTTACCAAAAAACAAAACTAAAAATTACTGCACATTAATTAAATTTAAACAAAAATATAATTTACATTTAATAGAATTCCATGAAATAATTTTATACTTAAAACAGAATAGATCCCATTATAATAGAATATATAGGCTAAGATATTTTTAAAAATAGATTGCTAGTTACATTGTTTGATCATGTATTTACAAATTTAGTAACTAGCGAATATTTATCATCATCAACCGAATAATCTGTCCTTCAATAAATCTTGTTATAGAGACAAATTTCCTATTTTTACATGGTAACTATCAGCAAATCATTAGATCTCCATTCAATGAGAAGTAGAATTCATCTTTTAAAGAAATAAAAGATTTATCTGAAAGCTTCTAATTCATTCTTAATTATTATAGAATAAACTCAATACAGAATAAAAATTATGATATTTAGTTAACCCGTTAAAGTAATTTAATATGAAAATTCTTCTAAAATGAAGTTTTTTAATGCATAATTAATTCACTTTTAAATTATAAAACTTGTTATCATATATATATGAATCCGTTATTAATAATTATTGATTTAATTTATAAATATCACAAGTCATATTAGATAATATTTGAATAAAATACCTCATAAATAAATATATAAATATTCTATCAGATAAACAGCCACATCACTACTACATTTTGCTTAAAAACAATTAGTTTCAATCATTAAATCATACCATTAATGCTTATTTGGATTAAAAAAAAATTTTTTTTTATGTTTTAATTTTCTTGAATATTACTTTCTGTTATTGCTTTTCATCTGAAATTTTGATAATAAATTATAAAAATTAATTTTAAATAAAAGCATAGTTAAAATTACGGGGTAAAACTAACGTACGGATTTATAACTTACCTAATTATTTTTAACTGAATAAAATTTAAGTTTAAGTTTATTATAATTTGAAAGTATTTGATAAAATAATTATATATGTTCCACAGCATAACAAATGTTTCTTGAAATGTTTTTATAAATCAGTAATATCTTATAGTTTTATTAAGTATTTATGTAATGAAATTATTAGTCATATCAATAAATGAGGAAACAAAATATATTTTACTTGCTGCTTTATTTTGGTCCTTCATTCGGGGTTACAAATGACCTATCCATGCAGCATATATCCCCGTCAGTTGTAATACAGGACAATTAACAAGTGATTATTGCTGTGACTGACTGCAGTCCAGTAAAAGTAGTTAGTCCTTTGGCTGGCAATTTACTGGTCCACAGACAATTTCTACAATTTTTAACAAGACTTTTTTGTGCTATAAATATTTGTAAAAATGCTAGAGGAACTCTCCTAAGGACTAGATTATTCAATCAGATCCGTATTGTCAAATCAGCAGTTTTGTGGTTAGATAAAATGATATATACTTGCAAGAGTGAATTCCATCAGTCTCCCAGTCAAAAACAAAAAAAAAAACAAAAAACATAACTACGATAATTTATTTTTTCTTTGGATGATTTGTTACTACAATGGCCCCTGAAACTATTGTGCAATCTATAAAAATACCTTATTTTTAATGACAGATTGAATTCTGGAGTTGTGAGAGGGAAAATAAAATTAGTTATTGCATTTCAAACCCCAGTTCATAATAGCTTATATTCAATTATACATTACTATGAAATATTTTGGTTAAACATCACATCAGACTGAAATATCTTTCATATTTCTTATCAATCTAGTGACAATTTTCTTTATTTATAACTATGTTATTTTTTCTTTACTTCTATCTACTATAGACATTTATTGCTAATTTATCTATTATATCCGCACAATTCCTGACGACTTATCACTAACGTACCACTTCACTTTTGTTTGCTTTATTATTTTACTTTTAATTTATTCAGTCTGATATCCACATTGGAAGTTAAAATAATTTATTTATTAGAAGCAAAAATCCTTTTATACTAATGGAAACTGATGGCACTGGAAGGCAGATATATCTCATAGACTTCAAAGGAAGCATTATTTATCTATAAATTTCCTAATCACTATTTACAATATAATTGATTAAAAAGTTTGTATGCCATGTTAACAAGTGTGTAAAAATGCCAAAAATGTTAATTTTTTTTAAGCTCCCAAATGATAATTCTCATTATAAAGCTATGATTTTAAGTCTTTCAACAGGTGCTACAAAATGTTGTTAAAAAAATGCAATGTTAGAAATAAATAGGAGAGAATACTTTGTTGCATCATCTATGCTGTGGACGTATCCTGTAATTTTTACTTACACTTTGAGGCATGGACGTGACAATATTTTTTATATCATATTGATTAATGCAACTCGTTGCCAACGATCATCTTCACTCTTGTAATTTAGTGATAGTCTTAATTATGATATGTAAGCTGCTATATGTCATACTTATATTTCCAATATTTGAACTAACACTTCTACTGTGGACATATACAAAAGAGACTTATTTTAAAAAAAGTACACCAGACAAAGTCTATGTTACTTATACAGCTCTAGAGAGTAACACAACATAAGCAATATCTTAGTATGCATTGTGCGCTTCTAAACAAAACCTGTGCTTTTCTGCATTACTCTAAACTAACTGTTAATTTAACAGTTAAATAAATCCTTACATAATATTAGAAATAAAATAATTTGTGACCATAGCTAAAGACCAATTGTACAGAAATAACAAAAGAGAAAATGTGGAATACTGTTAATATGATGACATCACAAAACTCTTTTTCAAACAATACCACTGTACATGGCCAAAGACACTTCATCGACTAGGGTGTGCACCTATCTCGGTACAATTACCCGTTTTTATTTTGTATGAAAAGAAGAAAGCTTAATTGAAATGTTTTGGTCACATAATCTTCTCATCTTGGAATTCTAACCATAGGAATGATTGTTTTCTTGTTTGGCAACTGCCTTATTTCTTTTCATTTACACATCGATTCAATCATATAATATATATATATATAGTTCATTTTTTGATACGATGGAAAGAAAAGAAATAACTCTACACAATACTCTTTGAGTCACCACATTCTATCTTATGTCTTGAATTTATCCTGCTTCAAGTCAGGAATTGTGCAGGATCTTCTAACTCCTTTTTTTTTTGGTACAAGGAGACATTATGAACAATGAGGTATAACCATAACACAAAAGAATTGAACACAATTTATAGGCAGCCACCTCTTGGACATGGAGCTAAATGGGTTTCAGATGATGATAATGACAAATCTTCAGCAACATCCATATCTCCTGAAGCCTCACTACTCTGACACTTTGTTTCTTCTTGTTGCGAATCATCAGTGAAATAATGAGATTTTCCATTATCTGAATCATTTGGATCATTTGACAATGGTTCCTGCTTTACTTCTATTTCTGTGCTATTTAAAATAATAATAAAAATAATGAATTAAAAAATAAGCATTAATATCCAGAATTAATCATTTTATTAACTCTAAAGAATGCCAACCTTGAAATTTTTTCATTTGTTGCATTTTGATTCATCATATCTGTACCTAAACAATCAGATTCAATGAATGCAGGGTTTGGACTTGATGTAGATGCCAAAGTTAAAAGAGAACCAGACATTAATGAACTAGAATTAGTTGTGTTATTCAAGAAAGACATATTGTTTTCTGCTAATGCAGCCTATAAAATAAATAATTTAAATTTAATTTAAAAAGATTAATAAAATTTTACTATTTAATAATGAATTATTTTAACATAAAAAATTCAAACAAACCTGGAGAGATGCATTTAAGCTATCACCATACAATCCAGGATTGTGATGCAATGGAGGACTTCCAACCTGATTTGGCGTTTCCTGTGATTGTGATAGTGATCTGTAGAAAAATCAATAAAATGAAATTTAATTTATTACATTTTACATTTGAAACAGCTTAAAATTATGTAATTTATTACTCGGTTTGTTATCTAACATATGAATTAAAATCATGCATTGAATTTTTATCATGAAAAGTTTTATATATTAATTCTACATATTAAATACAATATATCAAAATTTATTAAGTGTAAAGAGGAAAATCTTTTATTATGTAAACTGTACATAATATTTTCTATATAATATTTATTTATTAATCTGAAATTTTCTTTATTCTGCGTGTCTTGCTAATTTGGTAAGTACACAATATTTTAAATACTGTTTTTGTTGATAAACTTTATTTTTATTTAGTAAACTCTATATATTTTGAAATATTTTACTATATTTTTAATGTTTTTTTTAATAATTACTATATTTATCAATAATTGCAGGAATTTTGCAGGAACTTTTTTAAATGGATTTTAAGATATATTTTAAATACAAAGTCAAAACACATCTAACAGACTTTCATCATCTTAATATACAAGTCATAATTTATTAAACCTAACACTTTCAAATGATGAAATATGCTTTGAAAATATTAATGTTTTAGTAAAATTCAAATTCTTTATTAAGCTAATGAATTTCTTAACCTCGAGAAATTGGATTATGTTGAAATTATCCGTGAAGCTTTTGAGAAAAATTAATGTCTTTGCTATATTTATTTGTATTTTAGACATGTAAACCTATTTAGAATTTAAGCATTTTATTTTTAAACTTGGAAAAGGGTCTTTTTATTTTTTAATTCTGTAAAACCTATTATAAATAAACTATTTATAACTAGCAGGTGGGCCCAGCGTTGCTCGAGCAAAAGTAACGATAACTAAGATAAAGATTATTACGTTACAGTAAACCTTACCCGTTTTCACAGAATGCAAGAATTGGGTCCCCTTGTTTCCAGACTAATTAGAGAATTTTTAGATGGGTCTAAAAATATGTTCGATTTCCCGCAAAAACGAAAAAAACTGCATCTGCGTCTTGCACGTCGCTTTCTCTTAACAATTCCATTGTTACGTAACATTTCCATTGTTGACACTTCCATTGTTACTTAAAACTTTTATTGTTACTTAAAACTTCCATTGTTACTTAACACTTCCATTGTTACTTAGCACTTCCATTGTTACTTAACACTTCCATTGTTGATGGAAGTGTTAAGCCTTAATCCTGTCCCTCTCCCCCGTGGGGAGGAATTTCGAAAAATCCCTTCTTAGTGTGCGTTTTCGTGACGTACCCTATCTGTGTACCAAATTTCAACTTTCAACTCCTAACCGTTTGGCTCATATCCATAATGTATATAGAAGTTTTAATCCTGTCTCTCTCCCCCCGGGGGAGAATTTCGAAAAATCCCTTCTTAGTGTGCATTTTCGTGACGTACCCTATCTGTGTACCAAATTTCAACTTTCAACTCCTAACTGTTTGGGCTCTGCACTTATTATTATTATCATTATTATTATCAACCCGTCTCGATTATATATATAGATACATATTGATACAGTAAAGTATGAAATAAGTTAAAAACTATTATATTTTTTATAATTTCAAACTTAAATTCGATAAAAATATTAAATTATTATTCAGATTTGATAAGAACTGATGAAATTTAACAATATTAATACAAAGAAATGTTCGTAGAATTAGTTTGGACTTGATGTAGAATTCTTAATTAATATTTATTATATTATCAACAATACAGTTAACTATTGAGTTAACTGTATTGTTGATAATATAATAAATATGAAAGTAAAATACAATTACATAACAATTTTTTTCGCTATTACAATCACATTTTGAAAACTTTTTTCCAAGTTTTAACAGTAAGAATTTATATTACTATTCAAAGAATATTATTGAATGATAATGGAATTATAAAATTAATATATTTTCATTTTAAATTAAATATAATAGTATAAGAAAAATTTCAATTATAACATTGAAATGCATTTGGTTATAATAGACTTTATTTATTGTAATTATTTTGGGAATGACTAAAGTGATAACAATTACTAACTGATAACACTAAGCAAAGTAAGTAAATACACTACAATTACATGAAATTCTGGTTTCATTAACTCTTAACATTAAAGAATGCATTAAAACAGTTAAAGAGGCATAACTAGTAAATTTATTAATTATTATTATTTTTAATTAATATATAATTCATTCAGTATTGTTTGTTTATTCCCAACTTCTATAACAGCTAACAAATGCAGAAATTTAATGTATTATGAGCAAATAATGATTAAAACATTTAATGGTTAACTAAAGGGATCGGGTCCTGAAATTAGAAAGTGGGACGTAGGTCAGACACTTTGATATGATGTCAGATGAGTCACATGATCAATTCTGATAAACAATCACTGGTTTTCTAGCCTTACGACATCATTGGTGGCAAAGTTATGAACAGTCAACGAACATTTTACTTATCCATATACTTTTGTTTACAAAATAAAGACCAATAGTGACAGTGACAGTTAAGTTAATTTTGGCTCCAAGTATAGTATATTTGTTTTAACCTCTATTTTCTACATAGATAATTAGCAATAACCATCAATTCCCTTTTATAACTGATCTGAATAGCCATGATACTTGTAATCAGTATACATTTGCTAATCTCTGATAGAGACGTTGCCAGATTTAGCAATAAATTGTCAACTGGGCTACTGTTTCTATAAATTGGATATATTAAAATTCTTACATTATAACTTGTATGTGATTCATCTTTGATTTACAATTTATACAATTAATATTAGCTATTTTTGAATATAATTAGGAAATGATCTAAGAGCAGGAAAATTTCCAAACAGTTAAAAAATCAGGATGGTTTTAAAATTGGGACAACATATTACAAGGTGGTACTGTCCCATCTAATCTGGGATATCTGGTTACTTTGGTCACTTTCGTTTAACATTTAAAGCTGGTTAAAACTTGTATGTTTGGGTCCTGCTAATTTTGATAATATTTTCCTGATTACAAATAAGCAGTCTACTGTATAATTTAAGATTACTGTTTTAATGTTTTTAAATGACATACACTTTTAATATACATCACCATATTCACAAAAACTTCATAAAAATCACAATTGAAATTGTAAAAAAAAATTCTAAAGTTTAATTAAAAACATTCATTGACAAAAAAATTGTAGTATCAAATAAAGCAGAAAGTTGTCTAATTTATAAAAATCTTCAATGTTTCTAAAGATATCCAATATCTTAATTAATCAATAGTTAACTGTATTGTTGATAATATAATAAAAATACATTATAAGAAAAATACAAAGACAAAGAATACATAAATTATTTAAATGGCAACCATTTAAATAATTTATAAAAATATTTTCCATTGGTAATATTTTTTTTTCCCTTAATACTAAGATTAGTTTCAATAATAACTGAAGAACAATGTTATAAAGAAATCAGTTAAACATTAAATCATGTCAAAGTTAGTTACACACATACACATATATACTACTAACTTTAACCTAAAGTTTATATGTACTGTATATATTAGATATCTGATATAATTTTTCTCTTGTATAATTTAATTGAATAGTGGAAAAGTTCATAATTAATTATTAAAGATTTACAGACTGTATATGGGGGGGACCCCCAAAAAAAACCGAAATGAGAGCTTGCTGCCATTTGTAGACATAGTAGAGAGTTCTCCTGTTACATGGAGTTAGTAGAGACCTTCACGAAACAGCTGTGCAAACGGTGTCAGTTTGTAGGTTTACATTTGAGCGTAGTGTTGTGTTTCTCTTACTGTTATTTTGTTCTGCCTGCAAAGTTCTGGGCATCCTTCAACATCTCAAAACAATGAAAATGTTGAAAAAATCTGCCAAAAAAGTGTTAAGACATCTGTGAGAGGATGTGCGAAGGAAATGTCTGGAACTATGGCGAGCAGGTGACTGGTTCCTTCATCATGACAACGCCCCCGCACACATGGCCTTACGATTGACCCACTATTTGGCCTCTCGGGGATGGCCTGTCATTCCTCACCCTCCATATTCACCAGACCTAGCCCAGTGCGACTTTTTTCTGTTTCCGAGAATGAAGAAAAATCTAAAAGGGAAGCGTTTTGATAATGTGGAGGTAGTAAAAACAGCTTTGCTAAGGACACTGGACAATATCAAGGTTGAAGAGTTCCAGAGATGCTTCAAATGGTAAAGAAAAAGACTTCACAAGTGCATCGCATCTAATGAGAGTACTTTGAAGGTGACTGAAGAAATTTTGTAAAAAAGTTAATAAATAAAGTTTTTTTATACAAAAAATCTGGATTTTTTTGGGTCCCCACATATTATAATCTATGTACTGTACATAGTTTTATCCCCGTTTAAGAATAAAAAATTAAATAAAAATTAACGTTAAACAATCAATTGTATATAACATTTATTTTGTACCCATTCAATTCCCTCTTAGCAAGGGCGTTCCCAGTGAGGGGCAGGGCAGGGCAGCTGCTCCCAAAAGAAAAATTAAAGTATAGTAATTGACACACAGCACAGAGCTCTCCCTCCCCATTTCCTTGAAACTAGTATGAGTTGCCATCTCTAGTTCAGATTCTGGATATACCACTGCCCCTTTACAGTATTGTGTTACTCTATCTACCTATATTGTAAAAATAAATAAATTATGTTTTAAAATATAATTTTTTTAAACCTCCACCCTTTTAAAAATCCTGTTGATGGCCTCAAAAAAATAAATTGCAAAATTCTGAGTAGTCCATAAATATTAAATTCTCTTAAAAGTATTACTTTTAATAATAATTATTGGCTTAAATAATTATTAAATACTCCTGTAATATCAGTAATTAATACTTACAGATCAAATGAAATTAATATGTTAATTTCTATTTTAATTAATCTATTTTTACAATTAAGAAATTCCAACTTTATTAAAATCAATATTTTCAACAAAGTAAGACTACATATTATTTTAAAAGTTATGGTTTATGCTGTATAAAATAATTTTTTCAAACTTAATGAAGTTTAACAAGAATTGAATCATTCAATATTTCAAAATACATGTATTCTACATTTTTCTGATCTATATATTCTAGACATATTATTTTAATATTTTAAATATTTGTAATTCAAATTATAGTATGTGACTACATATCAACTGTTTAAAATATTTATCTTGATAGTTTATAATTTTATTTTAAAGATAAATAAAATAAAGTTATTCTTAAAAAGTTTACTACAAAGTTTTGACACTATTCCTTTCTAACTTAAAAAGTTCAGTAATGCAGAAGAATAGCTTCTGAATATCCTGATAGTCAAAGTTATTTTTAAAATAATCAGAAATATGAAAAATTCTATCATCTTAGTTTAAAATTTTATAAACATAGTCTATAATGGAAATGGAAGGATAATTTTTCAGCAACAAGAATTATGATTATATATTATTTAACTATATTCATGATTCTAGTTATGGTGTTCAAAAATATGATGTAGTGCTCCGCAACTTACTGTTATTCTTATTATTGTATATAAATATGATTTGCATGGTTATTACCATTTGTACTAGGTTTAGGTTTTACTTGTTTCAATTGTGTCGGTTTTTTTTTTTTGTGTGTTTCTTCTTTGTGTTTGTAGAACACGTGTACCCCTTACTCTCTACCCCTTTCCCTTTGTTGAACCCGGACCTTTGTGATTGGCCAACGAAGAGGTCAGGTGGGTTTGGAAACCCAAGGGTATATATAGCAGATACGTATATGATGCCAGAATAGTTTGGTTCTTGTTCCTGTCGTCTGTGGTAGATCGCCGATCGAAAAAGTCATACAACGCCATTGAGAGAAGGAGAGACTTACCAAGTAGAAGGGGACAGAATCGAAGTGCATCCGCGCGGTACGAAAAAGGGACTGAGTGAACTTTACAAGATACGAAGCTATATTACCCGATACATCGACGGGGACATATATTTCCCAAATAGGAAGAAACTTTGGTCCAACACCTGACCATTTTTCAAGTGCCAGATTCTCCTAGTGAGTAGTCTGTTAAAAGGATTCGTTCTTCGCGTGTTAATGTAACGGGTCTGGCCTGTGTACGCTAAAATAACTGAAAAGGGAGGAAGGAGAGTGAATGGGTTAGGTATTTTGTATTCGGACACGTGGTGTTGTAACTTAGGTTTTATTGAGAGTTCGTATGAGCCCTCAGTTGTAACCTAAAAACCCGTGTGAAATAAAGAAATATTTTTGTAAGCCGGCTATATATATGTTTTTTTGTCTCAGCTTGATAGACTTCGGTCAAGCTACCAACATAACAATGAATATACAGTATCTTTATCTAAATGATTAAACTATGAGTATTGATTATGAAAATTATACTCGTGTTTGTTTATTTACACTATTTTTTTTAAAAGTTAGTATCAGCATTTGAACAATTATAAAACAAAACAAATCTGATTATACAGAATTTAAAAATAATAGCTTAATGGTGATCACTTGATTCAAACTTTATATTCATTTCTCTTATCAATTTATTGTTGTTTAAATAATTTAAATATTTCTTAAATTCAGTCTGTATTCTGTTAAGCGTAAGTTTTTCATTGTAAGTTACTGTATAAACAGGGAAATAGTAATTGTTAAAAAACGCACCAAAAGTTTATGTCTTTTTCTTAAACATAATTAACATATTATGTAATTTTGTGTTTTTCATAACTAAGAAATTGGAAGAAGAAATGAAGAATTAAAAATAAAATATAATTATCATAATTGAATCAATAAACAAATATCCAAATAATAATTTTATCATCATCGGAAAATGATACTGATTATAAACTTTAAAATATTCAAATATGAAATGTATTCTAAAAGTGAAGAAATGAATAAATATTATGCAGATGCATCAATTTACAAATTTTTTTAATATATACAGAAAATATATCAAGTTTTAAATTTTATCTTATACATTCTTGTGAATAAATATGTAAAAACTTATAATGTTTAAATTATGACTGTTGAATACTCTTAAAAAGCTATTTTTTAAATTTATATAATAAAAGATTTCCTCACTGTTGAAAAAAGATAAGACTGCACTATTGTAACAATAATATTCATTAAATAAATGTGCAGACAAGATTTAAATAAAATTAAGAAATTGAACAAGTTTACAATATAAATATAAATATACAGACTGTAACGATAATAATATTGTATGCTAATTGAGCAATTAGTCATATTTGTATTATATTGTAAACTTCATATAAATTGTTGATTATATGCAGAGCAAATTTATAAGAAACATGTATTTTCATTAATAGTTATTAATTAATTTTCTTACAAGAAAAATATTTAAAATTTAATTTATTTTAAATTTATTTATTTATCATGCATTATAATTCTTTAACTTTTATACTATGAATTAAAATATACAAAGATATAAACATACTTTCCATGTAGCTGCATTTCTTCGGAAATAGCAGAACGTATTTTGGAACCAGTTGTATATTTCATTTAAAGTTAGCTGTTTATCAGGTGCCTCAACAATTGCCTAATAAATAAGAAAAACATTGAAAATATGAAATTCTGAACTCCTCCTCCTCCTTATTAAATATATTTTTGATATTTATAAATTATGTTTATTAAACTACAGGCTGCTCTCATTTTACACTGCTGATGTGTTCCTAGAGAAGGCATTGTAAACAAAATCAACACAAAATAAATCCATTTTATAATGGAATAAATAGGGATGTGGTCTGGGATTTAAAGAAAACTATTTTCAGCATTATTATATGTATGACTAGTGTTACCACTTGTCCGGTTTTCACCCAGACAGTCCAGGAATTGACTCACTGTCCGGGTGGACTATTAATTTTGTCTGGGAATTTTGTTGAAATTGTGAAATTACGATGAAACAAAGTTCTTGCAAATATTTTTACAGATTTACACTATTTCAACAGCGAAAGAACTCACACTCACTGAAACTCATCTGCAATTCTGCCATGTTAGTGTGTTGCACCTATGCCAACGTGTGACGCGCAACCTGTTATCAACCTTTTTTTTTTTTTCTTTTATTTTTTTCCTTTTGCACATACGAATCTCCAATATCCAATAGAGCTAAGTCATCTGTACTTACACCTAAGCAAGTCCCTAGTTCCTAACTGTAACTGATTTAGAACCGGCATGCACGTTATTCTGTGCATTGTAAAATAACATTGTGCATGTATCAGGAACTTCTGTTCGAACAAACCTGACCTGCCGTCCAGGTCAGCGATTTTGAAAAGGTGACAACACTATGTATGACACTTTGTTTTATTTTAAGTATCAAAAGTTTATAAAGGCTGGCCTCATTTTACATTAGTTTGATTTATGTCAATTGACGATAATGCTGGTTTCAAATTTTTCCACGAAAAGTCTCAAAAAATTTTTCCACAACACACAGAATCTTTTTTGCAATTGCTAAATGTAAACATTTTTCAACATATTTTCATATCACTGGTAACGCTAGTAGAAACTTCACTTTAATAGTGATTTTTAAGCAAGTGATTTTACTGGTTTGTTTATTATTTTGAAATGTTTATATTTTTCCAATAAAAATATGCCTAGTATTGAAATTTTACTAATACAAACTAATAATACAGAAATTATAGCTTAGACCTACTTGTTTACAGCCAAAATCAATGATGCAATTTTTATATAGCCACTATGTTGATCTTTTACAGCAGCACTTCTGGACACAACTTCAGTTTTGCAATGACAGACCTGACTGAGGCCATCAATTGAGGGTCTTATGAAGGTGCATGAATGCAAAGTTGTTTCTCATGCCTTTCTTTTTTTTTTCTTTTTAAGAATTTCATGATAAGGTACTAAAGCTTCATTTAAACTTGTCGTTACAAAGTCACTTTCTTTCCAGTCAGTGTTCATTTCAAACACAAACTTGGATATTTGGTTTCACTAATTTCCTTTTATTTGACATGGCTATTCTTTTTCTATTTTTATTATTACACAATAACTTCATTTTAAAATGATGAAATACTATATGAACAATAAACACTTTAGAATAATAAATAAAAAAACCAATACTGCTTAGAACCACTAGTAAAGCAAAGTCTTTGCTAGTGCTGGTAGCAATATCAAAGACATTTGCATTTAGCAATTGCAAAAAGTATTCCATGCATTATGGAAAAAATTTTTGAGACTTTTTGAAGAAAAATCTGAAACTAGCATTATCATCAATCAGAATAAATAAGTGGCATAAAATGAGGGCAGACTGTATAAACTCTTGATACTTAACACAAGAGAAATGTCACACATGTAATAATGCTAAAAATAGTTTTCTTTAAGTACTTCTTTGTTTATAAATCTATAAAACTTGTTGATACTTTATTGGTACTTTATTTACTTGTATATTTAAATATTATATACAATAATAATAATTTCTTTATTATATTCATCCCAATTCATTTTATAATGACTGATTAGACTAATTAAAATGTAAATAGATGAGGAGTACAGTGTAATTATGATTTAAATAGATTTGTATTCATGAGCTTATTCATCTATGTACATATGCACAGATTAAGATTAGTTATATTATTAAAATACATTAAGTCTCAGGATGTAGTTCCACAAATGAATTAGTAGTTACCAATGTAATAACTTTTTGGTTTATTTTATGGAAATAAATTAAAGTTAAAAGAATTTTTTTATAATTAACATAAATAAAATAAAAATAAAATTTATGATGAAAATAATATCTATGGGAAATAACAGTACAATATACTAAATTTAAATTAAGCGAGAATTTAAATTATCAAATTTCAAATTAATGAAACTTTTGTATATATAATTATAAATCTAGAATTAATTAATGCAATATATTATTTTCATCAAATGATTAAATATAAAATAAATTTTTAAATTTTAATCCAAGAAAACTTTGATATATGTCAATATAATTTTTGAACATCACATAAGTGTAAAAATCCATTTAAGATTTCTTTGAATAAATTTGCTGCATTTTAGATTTTAAATGTAATGAGTTTATTAAATGAATAAATTAAGTATAATTATGTCTGGTCAATATACCTTAAGTTTTATTTTATCATCATATAAAGATCATTATCTTTATAAGATTTTCAAAAATGATTGTAGATTCAACTATATTTTCAATGCACGAATAAATTATTCTCGTAAAACCTGCACTGTTTTGTTCATCTTTTCAAAATATTATACTTTTATAATATTATAATTACATGTATTTTAGAATATTGCCTGTTAATTTAATCAGCTTTAAATATTACAATTATATATTATCTGAATGATTTCTGAGGTCTACAAAAATGTATTTATTGTTTGCAAACTTAGTCATTCTGAACATAGTGTCATAAAAATTCTCCCAAAACAATAAAAATATTTTGAATTATTCCATACAAATATAGACATATCTTTAAGATTTTATAAAAATTTTATAGTGTTAGTAATATACAAAATTGTCTATCTTTGTACTAACACTATTTTCTATTTGAATAGATCAGCAGAGTTTATCACTGGGTAAAAGGAAATGAAAGCATTAGAGAAGAATTGAAACTGTTTCAAATACCTCTACAGCAAGCTTTAGAAACAAATAAGAATAATTTGAGGGCATAATAACAAAAATTTAAAAACACATGTGTAATCTTCAGAAATGTATCTAAGTTCCTTGAAAGCAAAAATCTTCCTGATTTCAGAAATATTGTAGGATAAATACAAAAATTTGAGAAGTTAAGATGAAAGACGAGTCTAAGAATTCATTTCTTGTATTCTCATTTAAAGCAGTTTCTCAATAACCTTGGTACAAAATAACAAAAGACTTCATCAAGATATAAAAGAAATAGAACAAAGTAGACAAGGACATTGGAATATGAGTATGATGAGTAACTTTGTGTTAAATAAAAATAAATAAAAACCATACAAAAGAAGAATTCCACAAAGTGGTCTTTCAAAGCCAAAAAAAGTTCTTCGAAGATTGGCAAAACTAACTAAACTTGAAATTTTGTTTTAATGTTATCCTATATTTTCAAAAGATTTTTTCTTTTGTATTTTTTTAGAAATACTAAAATCTTGAAGTAAATATATGCTAATTTATGGTGATATAATTGACAGAAGTAAAAACATCAGTATGAGAGAAACTGATTTGATGAGAAAAATGGTTTCTAAAATATAGACATCAATATTAAGAAAAATCATGTATTAATTCATAAAACTCTCTTTTTAAGAAATCTTTGTTTAAAGATCTATGTTGTTAAATAATTGCAATGGAAACTGCAACATTAAATTAACATGGTAAATTTCATTTATTTAAAACTTTCAACAAATATCACTGATTTATTCATAATATAATAGCTAGGATTCATAATATTCTATACAATATATGATTGTTAGTTTGATTATTTAATTTTATAAGAATTATATATAAATAATATAAAAGTTATTTAATTATCCTTTTAGAATGAACCACTTTTCTCTGTATCTTATGATAAAGCTTTCATAATACAGGTATACCTCGAGTTACGTTGTTCTCAATTATACGTTGTTTGTCAAAAAAATATATGGAAAAATAAAAATCAAGTTTGTCATTTTATTCAACTTTACATCCATCTGCCACAAATATTGAAGTTGTAATATCACTATGAAAGTGTTAAAGCACATAAAATCATATTAAAATATGTACATTTACAGTAAATGTTAATATAATCATCATAAATCCTAGAGAAGAAAACATGAAAACAACTGTATTTCTGTGTTGTCTTCTTATTGAGAGGTCTTTAAGTGCTCAATATTGGTGTTTTCCACGTAGTTCCAATATCTACCATTTGGCGTCATTGTCAGTGCCACTCGATATTGGTAAATTTAATATAAATTAGTTTATTTTCTACTGTCGCAAGATAATTTTAATAACTGTATTTGTTATTTAACCTTACAAAATCATCTTATTTTATAATGTCTTAGAGCAAACCACATTCACAAATAAAGAGTCCACGATGTACTGTAAACATCGCTAAATTGTAAACATGTACATTTACAAGTATTGTACTCTACATACAGTACATGAATTCGTAAATTTAGATTACAGGTAACCCCCGTATAACGTAGCACTTCTATAGCACGGATTCACTCTAACACGGTTTGAGAATTGGGACCATCCCCGTATAACACGATACTGTTATAGCACGAATTCATTCTGACACAGTTCAAGAATTGGGTAAAACCCTCATACAACATGAAATGTAATAAATTTTTACATACTTAAGTTTTCATATACATTATTTTCGTGAACTATTAGTACATAATATGTAAATTTTCTTTTTTCGCCTTCTGTCGATACACATGGTCCTTCTCGAAACTTGTTTTAATGTTGCCAGGTCTTCACGCTTCTGATTTTGGTGTTGCCAGATGTTTTTCCCTTATTCCATACTTGCTTTATTCTTCATAAGTGCTTAGCACCATATAAGGAAATTTATAAAGATCTTTTAACTAGAAGCAAGCAATCTAAAATTACATACTTTTTGC